GGCTCGTCACTTTTGAAGTAGTTAGAGCAGGTAAAAAAATTTTTGTAGGAGTAGAAAATACTCACAAAGATCTATTTGATCAGGTAATTTCAGCTTTCCATATCAAAGAATATAGAAGTTTTGTAGGCAGATGCACGAGAAAACGGATGACGGGCGGTCGAAAAGAATGAAATAATCATAATTTTTAAGCATTTTTTGAATTAGTGTTTAAAATAGTACAACAAATTACACTTTCAATAATTTTATTTATTTTTAAAAACTTTAGCGCTAAAATTTTTATTTAGAAATATTTTAAATTTGTTAACAAAATCTTTTTAGTAAGTCTCTGTAGGACGCGGCGTCGTTGAAAATAATCGTGTAGAATTTGGAAAAAATTAAAAGATTTTTACAATTTTGTGATATCCTCATTTACTTAGGAATTAAGTTTGGGATTATTAAAAATAAAACAATTAATTTTTTTTTACTTAGTTATACTTAATTTTACAGTTATAGAGCGACTGATAACTATATGGTTTCTATATAACCATTCCTAGGTAATATAACTTAAAACTAAATTTCCAGAACTGACTATGTAATTGGAATATATATTAGCAAACGGTGAGTCGGAAATAATTAAATCAATGGGAAAAATTTTATAGGCCAAGATGGGCTCTTATTGCTCAATTTTAGATTTACAAAACTCATTAAGCGTAAGCTCAAATTACTCAAAAGTTATTCTCAGAATAGGATGATAAGCAGAATAATAAATTATCTTTTACATATCTGCAATTAAAATCAGGCTGCATAATTTTCAGTTGGAGCCGATTGCATCATTTTCACATCAAAGTTTTCTACAAGTATAAATTCGCTAAGGGTGTAAAAAAATAAAAATTTTATCGTAAAATATTTTTGAATTCAAATATGGAAATGAGTCGTACCATTTTCGTAACTAATCTATTAAGGTTAACAAAAATATACAATAATTTTGATCTCTTCACAAATCAATAACTTTAGCATTCAATTATAATTTCATTTTATATTTTAAAATATTCATGATGACATTAAAATCATCTATATTTTTAATATTTCTCATTTTATAACGATTCAAAAATATTTTTTTATATTTTTTTGACAGTTATCCTTTTCATAATTAGCCCTCTTAAATATGTCATAACACTCAAAGAAAAAAAAAAAAAATATGTACATGGAAATTATAAAAACTTTTCCACATTTTTAACCAAAAAATTTTAAGCCAATAATCAAGTGTCAAAATATGTTGAAGAGATTTCATTTCTTCATGTCAATTTATTCCACCCCAGCAGAAAAAAAAAATGCTTTAGAATTTTCTATACTATATACACCCTTTTCTTTTTATATAGGAAAATACATTTTCTATGGCCACTTTGTTTTTTCCTTCTGTTTTTCTTTTTTATTGTAAGTTGAATCCTTTGTATGGGAATTGATGATTTTCTACTTTTCTCTTAAAAAGAAATCCAAAAAAAGTTCTATCTGTAGTGTACGTAATTTTATGTATCCTCGCACAATTATTCCTATTGAAAATTCTTTATCAATTTAGTTTTTAGTTTATAACAGGTAAACTTGAACTATTGTGAATTTGGAAACAATAATTTCTTCGAGCTTTTTGTATATTGCTATATTCAATATAAGGTATATGGAAATCTTTGACTATATTGAGCTATTCCTCTCGACTAAGCAATTTCTTTAATCAGAATATTTTTAAATTTCAGTAGTTAAGGCAAAAATTATTAGATTTTTCCTATATAAACTTTATCTATTGCTATATAGCACATTAAACTACTAAATTAACTGCAACTCAAGTTCCATATGCAAATATTCAACTTCAAATTTACTTCTACCGAATTACTTAGTATATTATAAGCTACCATAGTCAATTAAAAGTTCAATATGAAATAGAATACAATATATGTAGCTTATTCACAATTTCGTTAACCAGATTTTATAAATCAAGTAGGTATGTGACATATATGTATACAGTTTTTTCTAAAATTAAATTTTGGCCGCCTAAATTCTAGCCTTCAATCATTGTCTACATTCAATTAATTTTTGTCAAATATGTAAATGTCACAGTATAGTTAACCGTCTAACCATCCGACTAACTCCATCTGATTTAAGTTCTCCGTAAGATTATTGTAACCCATAAATCAATGTATAGAGTTTAGAAAATAATGGGAGATTTTGAAGTATAAAATCTTGATTTTAAATTTAAATCATAAAAAAAAAACAATAATTGATGTTCAAAACGAGTAGATTGTAGAATGTAGACTGTAAACGCGGGTTAACAATGCACTGCGACCACGTAAGGGATCTATTGCGTCCACCCCCTTGGGTTCGAAAGGCGGCCCTAAAGCATCCGTTCGAGATTCCCCGCTTTGATATACTCGAGCAATTTTAAAACGAACGAGTAACTGTAATTGTTTAAAGATTCAAATCAGGTTCAAACACAAATATTAATATTAATTAAAATAAATTTAATTAAATATATTAAAATTGAATATTTTTCTCGTAATTGAAAAGTAATTTTGATACAAATTTTATTTTTTCTACTTTGTCATTCAATTCCTAAAATCAGTAAATCATATCACATCTTATGGGAGCTATATACAAAAAATTCTCTCATATTTCAAATTCATCCCTAAACTTTTCATCATATTCATCTATTTCTCTACATATCTTTCCTTAAATATTCCTTAAATGTTATGCTTATTATCATTTCACATATTATATGCTTATACACACCCACATATTTATGTATTATACATATTTGTATATACACGAATATAATGAAATTGAAACGATGTTTTTGACAGACTTAATAGAAATTACAACAAAAAAAAAGCGAAAAGAAAACGAAAAGAAAAATCAAATCAGGTGACATTTAACTATATAAAGTTACTGAAGTGAGAACAGATTTTACTCAGGAAATTAACTTTTGCGTGAAAAAAAACAGCATCTAATTTTCTTTATTCTAAAAAAAAAATATTTTCCAATTACAAATGGGGCAAAATATTCATACACAATAACAAATTATTTATAAATCATCGTATATATTTTATGTAAGTAATATACATAGAATACAATATGTATATGTAAATGTGTGTAAAAAACTGAATAAAAAGCGAACAGGATGAATAAACCAAATATTTTGAAATATTACATTTCCGTTATATAATTAATAATAATGGTGACATTTAATTCAAATGTCTACCCACTATTTCTTAATCATTTACGCAACCCTCGTACATAAATTTATATAGTAATATCTTTAAAAGGCATATAATATATACCTATACACATTATGTGATGTGTTGAAGAATATTTTTATTAAAATAAGCTATTGAAAATGTATTTTGATAATAAAATATTTAGACTGAATTTGGAAAAATTTATAATTAAATAATTATTTTGTCCTATTGATTGTGATAACTATGCTATTCTTAGATCAACAAAATTTATTACAAATTGCCTAATCAAAGAATAAAAATTTTATTATCTGGGATTTCTAGGCATATGTGAATATTTGAAAATAAACTTAAATATAGAAACTAGATCCCTTACACCTTATTATCCTAAGGAATCCTGCAGTTTTTCCGAATCTGTCATAAAACTGCATAATCAAGATTGAAATGCAAGATTGAAACTGATTGAAAAATATAATAATATTTAGTTTGCCAATTTAGATAACTAGAATTTGGAAGAGGTATATACACTATATCTATAAGTATATTTTGCTAAAACTTAATCCTCATTTAATTTAGTATTGTAGATTGCTTAGCAACAGAAAGATCCAGACATTATCAAGTTTTTTTTTTGCCATTAGGTAAATTTTGACGAAAAATTATTATAAGAGTATTTTAATTATCAAAGAATTTTTAAAATATTTGAGGCTGATACTCAAATTACAAATATGTTTAACCATGTATGAGAGAAATGTTTTCAATATTTCTATTTTAAAATTGGTCCAAGTCAATTTCAAACTCGAATCGAAATATTTGCACCGTTTGAGCTTAAAATAACTAAAAATTTGGTTAATCGGTTTTATACATAATATACATTGTATATTTGAATTTGTATCAGCGCATAAGTTTCAATTCCAACTATTGTCATTATCATTGCTTTAAAAATAAAAAATTTTTGAAATTTAAAATAGATTTAACCTTTTGAGTGCACACTTAATTTTTAGGTATTTGAAAAAAAAAGAGCTTAATTGTTTTTTTAATACCCCTGTGTAGTAAAACATTTTCAGTTTCTAATATTCTCAAAGTTTTTTCATTAGCTCTTGAGAGTTAAAAGTAAACTAAATTTTTATTAAAATCTCATTTTTAAAATATTGCTGGACAAAAGTGGAACATGTGTGCACTCAAATGGTTAATAAACCATGGATATGATATAATTATAAATTTACTATTATAATTTTTATTATTGTTATAAAATTCAAAATATATTATATGCGCATTTTTGTTGACCTACAAGTCTGAAGAATAAGTATTCTCTATTAATAGTGTTATATGTTTATATATGTGTTGTAAAAACTAAATAAATAAATAAACAACGCCTTAAAATATGCAAAAAATATATCCTAAATTATATAACGAAATTATTTAATTTCCCTAATTTCTGATAGATTTTTTCACATAAAATCAAAAGTTAATTATTTTATATAAATATTAATAATCAGTGAACAAAATTGTACAATTGAAATTTTTTTGTCATTTTTTCTATTACAATATAACAAATTTTCCGTCGGTTTATTTATATATTAAAAGAAATTCGTATACAATAGAAGAAACTCTTATAATTTAATATTAAAAAAGAAAATTATTTAAAGCACTTGTAACCTAGAAATTTAAATAGATCCTAATACATGGTCGCGGTGCACTGTTATCCCGATTTTACAAAATCTACAACCTATAAACTTTGGAAAATTATATGTGTATATATGTAAATATTATCACTATGTATTATTATTTTATTATACTCACTTGTGAATCTTCAAAATCGGTAAGCGTATTTTTCATTGCACCTTTAAATATATATAATTAAAAACTTTATTTCAATATTATATTAATTAAATTATATTAAATTTTTTTTGTTGCAAATTTTTTTAAATCTTAAAATATATACAATTTATTTTATATATGACTGTATAATATATATATAGAATTAATAAATAGAAATTTCACTAAATTGTGCTTCATTACCACTTTTTAGATTATTAAAATATTCAAACACGAAAATTAAAAATTTTTTGTTTTACATTTTTGGAATTTTTTCTTTTTTAAATTTGCAATTTTAATAATTGAAATTTTTAAAATTATTATTATGCATAATTAAAATCTTTATTGATTTCATGTTTTTTTTTTTTCTGTAATTATTATTGAATATCATTTAATAATTTTTCATAATTATAAACGTATTTGTTTTTGCTAAAAATGAAAAAATTAATTAATAAAGAAATTAATAAGTGATAGAAAATTAATAAATTATAAATGAAAATTATTTTAAATAATTAATTTTGTATTGAAAAAAATTATTACAAAATTTTATATTTAATAAATTTAGTTTGTGTTAAGAAACTTAAAATTTGTGTGACTTAAATTAAATTAAATAATAATTTGAATTTTATATTGTAATAAATAACTTTAACTGAACTACGAGTAGCTTAATAATTCACTTTATAATTTAAAATAAAAATTTTTAATTATAATTTAGATTTATTGGAGTTTAATATCGTTTTTTTGTTGTATTATTAAAATAATTCATAAAATATGAATATTAATTAAAAAAATTAATTTATTATTTTAAATATATATGTATAATTATAACTTGATATTAAATTTAATAATTCTTTAATTTCATTAATAATAATTTCCGGAATTGGGTTTGTTATTTACAATATTTTTAAATCTTTAACACAATTTCCTTTATCATGAATAAAATATTATTTTTTAATCCTTTATTAATTTGCAAAAACAGGACACAATTTTTTAATTATGAAATTTTAATAAATTAAATTTTTTTTTTTTATAATTTTATAAGTTCCTTGTAAATTAAAACACCTTCCTTTTTTAATTGTAGGTGCAAATGTATAATTTATTTGATGTATAACAAATATCTATTTAATTTCTGTAAAATAAATTTCCTTTTTTTTTTGTTTGTTTTATTTTATTCTGTGAATATTAATTTTCTTACGTACATGTAGAATATATTTCTTATTTCTTTTCTATTTTTTTTTTTTTCAAAATTATCTTTATTTTTTTTCTCTATATAAAATTTTTTTTCTTCTTCTATTTCTTATTAATTTTTATTTATTTCTTTTTTTTCAATTTTATTATTTTATACTTAATATAGGAAAAAAGAACTTCTTATTCTAATATCTTAAATAAATAAACTGGTTGATTGTATAATAAATTTTAAGATTCTACCCCCGAACAGGATTAAAAATTATTATAAAATAATAAAAACAAGAAAACAAAAACAACACAACGAAATAAAACGAAATAAAATAAAAATAAAAAAAAAAGGCTAAAGGTTACAATAAAAATACACTTATGTTTATGTATGTATGTACATACGTTACGTACGAGAAAAATATAACAAATTTGTATATGTATTAAAAATTTTCAAGCGATTTTATAAAGGATCATGATATTGATTGTATTTTGATGATTTTATAATGTAGTATGTTCTTTTTTTTTTCCTTTTCTTGTTTCTTTTTTTCGTTTTTATTATTTTTATGTACATATATTTATTTATTTATTAATATTGTTGTTGGAAAAATTTTTCATATTTTTTTTCTGAATATTTTTTTAATTTTTTATTTTTTTATTCATCAAGTGAACAATTATTATATAAAATTTTTGTTATACAAACTACATTTTAATAACTAATAGAATTTGTTGAATATTTTATAAATATATATATAACAGATATTTTTCATTTATATATACATAAATGTATTGTATATATGAGTAGGAAATGTTGATTTTTTAACTAACAACACTATACTAAACTGCCCACTCTAAAGTCTATAATGTATGAATATTTTAAAATAAATAATATAAAATTTATATACCTACATTATATTATATACCATATACATACTTTTATAAAATTTGTATCCCTATATATCTAGAATTTTTAATGTATAAGAGAAACAAATACATTAAGAGAAAAATCAACAAAATGTTAAGAGAAAAGAAGAAAAATTAATGTAAAAATAAATGAAAATTCTTATAACAATTTATACATACGTTATACATATACATACTTGTATACCAAATAACATACATACATGTGTGCTAACAATATACTTTGTATGTATGTAAATATACATACAATATAATATGCGAATATATAAATCAGTCTGATATGATTGCTCTCCTTACTGTTGGAAAAAAACAGCAACGCAACTACTTTGTATATTTTAAACATTTATCGTCATTATGCACATAACCTTAAAAAAGGAATATTTATTATAAAAGACAAAAAAAAAACAAAAATAAAAAAATTCTAAAAAAAAAAAGCAACCAGAACAAAAAAAAAAAATCAGTATAATAAGGGCGGATGTAATTTTTGTTCATTTATACGGTAGGAAGTCTCATTTTTTGAAATTTTACCCGCCCATAATATTTTATATTGGATGAATAAAGGAAAAACAAAAATTCAACAAAAATTATATAAAAAAATTTAGAAAATATAAAAAGCAACATATCGCAGTTCAGGAGTTTTTTTTTTTTTTCATTTCATTTTAGTAAAAATGCTAGTGTCATACAAAGTGAAAGCAATGTGTGTAAGTAGTGTATACGAAAAAAATTTTTTTTTTCATTTTTATGAAATTAAAATAAAAATTTTCAAGTAGGCACTACAGGGTAGCTTTTACATACATACATACAAACGAAATATAAAAGAGTAGAATTTTAAAAACAAACAAATAAAAGTAATAAGAAGAAAAAACAAAAAGAACAGCAACAACAATGTAACAACAACAAAGTTACAACAACAGCTGCTGCTGCTGCTGCTGGTGATTTCTTTTAGGTTAGGTTTACATATTGAAGTGGAATTTAATTTTTTTTCTTTGTTTTTTTTTTATTTTTACTTTGCCCTTTTCTTTTTGTTTTTTTTCCATATTATTTTTGGAATTTTGATTTGGTGTTCATTCTATTTATACGTATTTACTTTACCTTATACCTACATATCTTTTTTTTATGAAATTTATATTCATATAATATTGTGCGTGAATGTTTGTATAAATGATGTATGTGTTCATGCAAATATTAAAATTATGATATACGTATATATACATACATAATATGTATATGTAGGAACATTATAAGATAGGTATTGCACCCCTATAGTAATATTATCATAGATGTATGATTAAATGCTCTAAAACACAATTATTCATTTGAAGTTAAAAAAATTTTTAAACATGGTAGGTACCAAAACTGTTATTACAGTAAAAAATTAAATTTTTTATATTTGAACACTCACTCATATTAAAGAATGTCTGATATCTTGAGAACCAAAACAGCGATCGTCTTAATACGAAAAACCTACATCCCAGTCCTGCAGTAACAGAACCTAGAAAAATAGCAAAAAATCATAGAAGTTCCAAAAAATTGTATTTTCTGGACGGAGTCGAAAAACTGCACTTTTCAAACTTTTTTTTTCCTATTCGAATTCTGCGACAAAATCCAGGTATACTTTTTTTGAATTATGTGCATTCAATTACCGGCTCCCGATATGAAGCTTTAGTGTCTTTATTAAAAAATACATAAAATGGAAAAATATAATCAAACAAACTTTTAATTAATCATGATTGATAATGGTTACTTGAATCGTTATTACGTAAAATTCGAAATTTCTGTTAACATTTTATACAATGCTGCAATTTCGTATAGAAAATTGACGTTTAATTCGCCAAGCATAATAAAAAACGCTAGCGTAATCGCTATTTTTAACGTTTTCGACGAGGCAAAAAATTAATAAGCCTTATAAATAAAACAATTGCTCTGGAAAAAGCTGATTTTTTGTTCCCTTTCAAAATGAATAAGCGACTGAAATATTTTTACGGGAATATTTTGAGATATCTTTGGTATCAAAGATTATATTAGCTTATACCCACTGGAAACTGAAAATTACAATACAGAACCTGTATAATAAGTTGTGAACACCAAAATTATAATACGCTAATACGTACGTGTATAATACAAAAACTCCTATTAATTCATTTAATAATTTATAGTGACATAGTATTGCGGTTATGGTGCAATAAGTACATATATTACATGTAAGTGTACATAAATACGGCATTTATGCCATTTTAAAAGCTCAAGCTCCATCGAAATAAAAATATTACAAAATTGGGGTTATGTTACATATAAAATACATATATATTAATAAATATTAAAATATTCAAATTACAAACCAATAATGGAACTGAAGTTATAAATATTTTTTGGGAAATATTCAAGTCAGTAGCACATAATATAATGTACGTGTATTTATATGCTATATGTATATATGTTTGTAATATTTACAATGGTAATGTTATATCTACGGAACATTTTTCATACGTTTTCATGTAAAATATATATATTTATACGCAGAAGGTGTCTTTTTATTTCGAACAAGTAAAATTGAACGTTCTCTATCTGATAAGGCGAAAATCCTTATCGGCACCATTTTAAATGTTAAATTTTCTACCAGAAAGTTGTATCAATGCACGAGTACCTTATATAAGGTATTTTTATTAAAATGTTAAACATATAATATGTATGTGTGTACATACCAGCACAAATACAAAGATTATCACATTCATAATTATGTAATAATATTTATTTATACAATATTTACATATCGTAACGATTTTTCATAATTTATTATTATACGTATAATAAAGTTTGCCTTTTAATACTCGTATATAACTAAATGTACTAGTACATTTCTTTTTATAAATCCGACATTCTGTATGAACACCGTATGTATACATAAAGGAGCATAAATAGATGCCTAAAATGAGAATGATTCCGTTCGTTACAAATTGTAACTTAATAAAATATACAAAACTTACACGAGAAATTTTATTTTTCAATCAGCATTTGAGAAATTTTTATATTTCCTTGAAATAAGAGTAATCTCTAGCACTGTCCTTTATTGTGGCAATTGCAACAGATTTATGGCATTTGG